GCAAGCCTGGGGCGCCCTCAAGAACATCTGCACCTAGATCTCAAGGAAGGTGAATGGCAGTGATGGGAACAGGGGTGTGGGGTCAGAATTCCTCTTAGGCACTATCTGGGGCTCCCATAGTTGTTCTCATCACAGCACCTCTCTCACCACTTTGCAGTTGTCTCTGCCCCCACTGAACAGTACGCCCTGCAGGACTATCTTCATATTTCATATTTAGCTCAGCTTCCTGGCAGCCAAGACAAAGAGAATACAGTAAGTTGCACTCCTGTCTTACTAGAAATGAGGAAGCACTGCAGTCCCTCAAAGAAGACAAAGTTATATTCTAGATCTGGCAGGCCTATGGGTATCATTTTTTTTTTCTTTGCAAAGTGACTTTTGGTTTTTAAACAAGCTTTCAAAGAGAAAAAGGATGATGAGTAAAGCCTAACACACGAAATGTCAATTATTTTCTCTCTTTGTAACTTTTGTATCTCAGTTCCTGTCTGGGGACTCTACAAAATTTCCATGCCATCCTCTGAGACAGAATCCCCACAATCTGCCTGTGCCTCACTGTGGCTCTCCGTCATGCTCTTCCAGGTACTATTTGGTCTCATTTGCTGTGGCCACAAGTGGGACTTTGCTTCTACTCTTTCCTCCCTCCCATCTCTTGTATCTTAATACAAGTTCAGACCACTCGACCTGGGTGCACCTTCATGCAAGATTCTTTCCTCAAGCTGTCTTGTGTGTGATAGGACCATTTTCATCAACTTATTTCTCTCAGTTGGTCCGAGCATCTTTCCAACACCTCCACAGTGGGCCTTACTCAAAAGGACCACATTCCAGCTGGTGGAGTCCCCATAGAGTTCTCCCATTGGATGCTATATGAAGATGCTGCATAACTGTGAGGTGTGAGACAGGGAGATGGCAGCACTACCATTAATGAAGTGACTTATAGTGATGTACACCCACCCCAGGGCCATTGGGCATCTTAACCCTGGCCTAGTTTCAGACACATAGGCACCAAGAACCACTGAGTTAGCCTCTGCCAATCCAAGTGCACAGTCTCAGACAAAGTACAGAATCTAAGTTGACCTCATCTGGCATGTATAGAGAGAATTTTGTGCATGAGTGGGTATAAAACCAGGTCCTATCGTCCCATCACCACTTAGGTTGGTCCCCACTCTGCTGCTGCTGCAGAAGGCCCAGAGGTGACATCAGTCCATTTTCTTCAAATGGCCAGAAGGCTGTTGGCCTGGGCAGCAGGAAGCATGCTCTTGGTGGAGAGAATTTAATTTATGCCTAAATGTTAAGTCAACAGCAACATATGGATAGACAATTTTACTTAAACAACCAATAGCAATATAACTTCTGCATAAAAACAGAGTGGGCCCTGGAAGGAGCAGCTCCCTTGTGTAGCTGTTCAGTGTCTAAGGAAGGCCGTGTTCATATTCTTTTTTTTTTTTTTTTTCCTTGAGACGGAGTCTTGCTCTGTCGCCCAAGATGGAGTGTAGTGGCATGATCGTGGCTCACTACAACCTCCGCCTCCCAGGTTCAAGCAATTCTCCTGCCTCAGCCTCCCAAGTAGCTGGGATTACAGGTGCCCACTACCATGCCCAGCTAATTGTTTGTATTTGTAGCAGCGACTCTACTTGCATGTGTGGGGATCTTTACCAGTTGGGGGCTACTCATGGAAAGCAAAGACTTTGGGCACAGCAAACAGACCACATTCAGTCCATAACCCAGGCTGGTCTGCTTAGCATATGGTAAGTTTGGTAATGAATTGTAAAGAAAGCTCTCACCACTTTCTGATGTTCAGAAAGCTGAACGTCAAACAAGCACAAATCAGTTCACCATGGGCTATATAGTTTCAGGATTCCCCAACCTGGGGAACCTGCATTTCAGTGTTCAAATAAGGCACAAAATGTGCTCAAGTAGACTGGCCTGGTAATTGGGAAGCCATGTAACTCTTTCAAGAAAGCCCTGTAACCTGGGACTGGAGGTCCAGAAAGTCTGGACCTGTCCTCCAGTGATGACAATTCAGTTAAAAAGTTACATAAATTAACAAGCAAAATATTTGAGTAACTGCGTGAAGGCAGTGAAAAGCTGTCATAATTCTAAAATTGAAGATGATAAAGGATCAAAGGAAGAAGTGTGTGCTCTTGGCTCCACCTCAAGTCAAGACTGTTTTGCTCTGCATTTTCCTTTTTCTTCCAACCCCTGTTCCCACCAGGATCAATAGGTCAGATGCAGGAAGGTCTGTGACTTTTTTTCATCACTGCATGAATATCTGTCAGACTCATGGTAGTAGACTCAGGTGAGTCTGCCATCCAGCAAGACCCTCTTCAGCTCTGAGATGGAAGTACAGTGGAGCGTCCCGCCCCTCGCTCTCAGAGACTTTCACTTTCACTCCAGCTCACAAGATTCTGCGGAAACTGGAAGCATAGCTCATCAAAAAAAGCTAGGGCCCCTTTCCTGGGTCACATTCTGTGGCAGTGTCTTCTATTTCACCAAATGCCCATTCTAGTGTCCTTCCTAAGCTATGGCCTGGCTCCCTGAAGACAGATCTCAATAACAGCCTCCAAAAAATTGAGCTACAGAGTGAATCATGAGTTAATATTTGGGTTCTAGTCCCAAGTGACCTTATATTCCACCCTTTTGGTGATCATCTACTCCAGGAGTTCTCAATTAGAGAAGATATTACCCTCATCCCCATCCCCAAGGAACACTTGGCTATATGTAAAGACAGTTTTATTTGTCACAACTGGTAGTGGTAGGGGGGTGTTACCATCTCCTAGTAGGTAGAGGCCAAGGATTCTGCTAAATATCCTATAATCCACAGGACAGGCCCCACAACAAAAAACCATCCAACCCAAAATGTTAATCGTATCTAGGTTGAGAAAACACTAAAACCACAGATTGTCAGCTTTCCTGACATAACTCCCAGTTCCACAGGTCTTCCCAACAGAGGTAAGTTTCTTTGATATATTGGTAAGCCAGTTCCTATAGTTACACCTGGACACAGGATACTGGAGAGGGGATTGGAAGTCCTGTGACTGAGTCAGGGGCTCTCCCCCCTCAGAGGACTCAGCTTATGATCTGAATTCTAGTTCATGTGACACTTATAAATGCATCCTACCGTAGCCCAGTCCTTCAGGGTAACAAACTTGTAGATAGCATGGATAATGACAAGGGCTCCTCTGTATTTCATTATGTCCTTATTATTATTTTTTCATTAAGTAATACTAAATAACACCATCTCCTTGTTTTTGTTGGCTGAAACATTCATTCAGGCAACAAATATTTATTGTGTGTCCAGTTAAGTCCAAGCACTGTGCTCTGTACTAAATGGGTGATAACTGTCTGCTGGGGCTAGTGAACACAGACCACAGTACCTGCAGCAGGAGTTCTTCCTTGGGTGAGGATGAAAGTGGGGGGTGCTTGTTGAAATGCAGGATCCTGGGCCTTCCTCCAGAGATTCTGATTTTGTAAGGATGGTGCCAAGAAATCTGCATTTTTAGCCAGCACTTGATGTGAGTCTGATATAGGTTATCTATGGGACCATACTTTAAGAAACATTGGTAAAAATCATGAAATTCATTCAATCAAATCCCAGACCTGAGTATACACAGTCTTGAGCTGTAGTGTGGTAATTTCCTATATCTGTGAAAAAAAAATCATTTAACTATTAATTGTCTCAACTTTCTCATTTTTTAAAACAAAAGAGTGTAAGACCCTAATAACCTGTGTTCAAACACAGGTGGAGAGAGGGCAGAATGACCTTATTTATGTAGAAGTAGGACACTTTCAAAGGAACAGAACCATATAATTTGTATGACATACATTGAGCATTAGCCAAATACATTGGTATCAATGATAGTTAGGAGGAAAATCTCTTGCTTATGTAAGAGGTACGAACACTATCTTTTCTCCGAACTGACCTCAGCATACAATCATTCATAGCTTGATTAGGGAACACTAGTCTCCCCTGGTTATCAAGATAAATGGCTTCTCTGATTACTCTGTTTTCTTTCAAATCCTTTCTCAGACCTACATCATTAATGCTCCGCTTGTGGCTCTTCAATGGAGCACTTATTTTAGTAGCACACTTAACCCCTTTAGAGGTTCAAATCTAAAACTTGTTCAAGCAGAATTCCTCCAAGCTGTTAGAAACACCTTAATACTTATCTATGTCTAATATCAAGGAAGTTATCTCATATATGGCCGAGATACATAAATGTAGGCAATCGTTTTCAGCCCAGTTGCTCTACCGTGAATTACTGTGACCAATTTAGCAATAGAAGAAATCAATGTAAAGAACTTCACAACGAATATATAGATTAAACTTAATGTATCACTATCATCATTAGAAGGACAGGGTAAGGATTAAAGGACAGACTATCTCAGAAAATATGCAGTCTCCCTTAAAATAATAATAAATACATCTCTTTTCCAACTCATCTAAGAATTCCCTCCCATTCTGTTCCTTTAATTGTATCTTTATTACATAAGGTCTTCATTATACTTTAGTACTTTTTTGTGTTCCTGTCTTGTTTTTGTTGTCTACCTTTTGCTACAAATAATACACCTTGACTCCTGGGCTCACAAAACAGAACACCCATTGAATTTACTTACAGATTGAGCACCTCAAAAGACTCTAGTCTTTGTGCTCCTGTTCAGAACCGTTCAAAATATGGGTGAGTTTCCAAACAGGAAGGAAATGGAATATGCTAAAAACTCACAGTTTGGTGTGTAATCTGTAGCCTTAAATCATCCAAAGTACCCCAGATCCTGTACACCAAGAAGTTCCATCCCACTGTTTTGTCCAAATGAAAGAGAACCCCCTCCCAGCATTTTAGAACTTGGACCTGGCATGCCAGCTTAAATGCAAATGGTCCCTCAAACTCAGATTTGCTGCGATATCCATTTTTAAGTAGACTATGCTCCCTGCAGACCAACATGCAAATGGTGCTCAAGTATACGTAAGAATCACAGAGGCAACAAAGAAAAGACACCAACCATACCTATTTTCGCAGCCTCCACTTTCAGGTTGAAATCCCAGTTCCTTGGCAATTTTAGGGACATTTTGCTTCCAGTTTAAGTGAGTAGTTAGTGAAGCGGTGAGTCTGTCACAGTTTGCGCCCTTCTTGTCTTTTCGCTCTTTCCCTCTGTTTTTGTGTCTGTTTTTGTTCCTCCTTATGATTGCTTCACAAGCAATCTTAGGCTTGAGATTGATTTGCCAACGTGTCTCCTCCTTTCTCTTAGATGAAAGGTCCATCCATCTGTCACTGGAGGATGGCAACCAAACTCCCCCAGCCTCCACCCTCAGTCCCACAGGGGCTGGCACCCTGCTTTTCTTGCTTTCAGTTTTACCAGAAATATCCCAATTGACACTTCCCTCTGCGTCATGGGAAGCAAAACTCCTTTTCGAAAGAATCTCAGGCCTCACTGAGTTGAGGTCGTGATAAACAACGGCTGCCTCTCGGGTTTTTGTGTGTGTGTGTGTGTGTGTGTGTGTGTGTGTGTGTGTGTGTGTATAACTCTGCTTCCTTGCATTTGAGGAAGTGGGTGGCCGTTCAGTAAAGATGATACATTATGAGCACTCTTTCTTGAGAAAATGGTTTTTGGAAATGCTTGAAAAACCAGAATGGTTGCTTCTGTTATAAAAGGCTACAGTTTTAATTAAAATAAAATGTTCAAACCCCCATCATCTACTTCAACTCTAAGCTCTCCTCTTCCTCACCTAATGGATCAAGCATCCAAAAATGGTCAGAAAAACAACCAACATTCCCCCAAAGTTATCTTCTTTTAAATTCTTCCTGCTCTAAGGACCATGTCGCAAGCTCTCCAGCTGCTCAGGATAAAGTTTGCAAGTGATCTCAGCCTGATGTAGGGAGGGTTTTGATGTATTTGGCTTTAATGAATCAACTGAAGCTAGGTCGACCCACTCACATATCATAAGGGTTCTTTGGCATTGTACACAGGGTGTGGGCTTTAGAATCAGGTGTGTGGGCTTCCATTTGCTAGCTCTTCAACTTTTTAACAAGCAACTGAATCTTTCCAGACCTTAATGTCCTCATCAGTAAAATGGGGTTGATAATAACCACAGCTCAAAGGGTTTTTGCAAAGGCATCTAGTGCAGAGCTTGACACAGAGTGGTTTCACCACAAACATTAGTTCAACCTTTATTCTCTTCTATTTAGTTCAGTTACGTGACAAGCTTTCATGTTTAACTGGGTCAGCCTAACCTAGTGATTAAGCATTTGGGCCCTGGAAACAGATCACTGGTAGTCAAATCCTGGCTTTCTTGCTGTGGGACTATGGACAAGTTTCTTGACCACTTTGTGCTTCAATTCTTATCTGTAGATGGGGCAAATAATAGGGCTTACTTCACAGGCTGTTGTGAAGCTTTAGTAGAAAAGCCAGTACAAAGTGCTCAGAATAGTCACTGTTAGCCAGCATCTAAGCTGCACACCTTGCTCCATTCATTCTCCAACTCTCCTAGATGACTCTGTTATACTTTCTTCTTCACCCGCCACTTGCTTACTCTTGCTGACGACCTGGGTTCCCGTTTCATTGAGAAAATCGATGTAATTGCGAGAGAATGTCCCCAAGTTTCCCTCACTCTATCTGCTCACCTACCTGCATGCAAGCTGTATCCCTAATCTTATTCTTGGTACAATGGGTGAACTGGCTGTTACCGCTCTCCCATCCCTGTTGCATCATCAATTTCTTCTTTCTCTTGGATCCTTCTTGTCAGCGTTCAAATTTATTATTTTTTATCCCACATAAAAACTCTCTGGATGCCACCACCCCCTTGGGCTAGAGTCCCATTTCTCTCCTTCATTTCTGAACCAAGCTTTAGTAAGAACTGTCTAACTTGCAAATATCTCTCCTCTTATTCTCTCCTGAATCCCTTAGCTGATGTTTTTGCCCCGTGACCCCACAAAATATATTCTTATCAAGGATACCTACGACATCCCTGTCACTAAACTCACAGGTCAGTGCTTCATATTCATCTCGCAGGCCCATCCGCCATGACGGACACATTTGATAGCTCTCTCCAACTCTGAGGCCTCTGTCCTTGGGGCTCCCACGGCCCACGGTTGGCCTGCGTGTCTGCCTGCCTTTCTGGCTTTTCCGTGTCTGTTTTCTTGCTGATTCCTTCTCATCTCTCTGACCTCTGAATATTGGAGGAAACCAACACTCGACTGGACTCCTTTTCCATCCACACTCACACCTTAGTGAGCTCGTCTGTCTCAAGGCTTTAAATGCCACATATTTGCAGATGATTCCAAAGTGTATTTCCAGCTCAGACCCCCTGAACTCCGAATCACATGGATCTCTGCTTAGATCTATAGTAGCCATCTCAAACTAAATGTGTCCAAACTGTATATCCAGAGAAGGAGGCTGAAGGAACAGTAGTGACCTGGGATGTACTCCTCTCTTCAAGAATGAAAGGAGCATGAAAGGAGCGTAAGAAAGAAGAACTTGTAAGTGCATTTAACGCCTCTGCGCACATCCTGTCTGCTGGCATTCCATTGGCCAACACAGGTCACATGGCCAAGCTCAAAGTCAGTGAGGCCCGAGGTACACCCAGTCCTCAGCGGGAGTAGGGAGGGAGAAGGGCGGAGGGGTGGGAGAAAGGCCGGAGTGTTTGCTGATCAAGACTTCACCACACCCACCCAGTCTACCCAGCTACCCTCTAGCCTCCCCCGGGAGCTGGATTCCACTGAACTTGACTCAGCCACTTGGAGACTTTGCGCTACTGCCTGCCTAACCCAAACACCACTGCTCTTTTTCGTATCCCGACTTCATGAAGCAGGTGTGGGAGGGGCAGCTGTCCGGCCAGGCCCAGCAGCATATCCACGGGGGAATTCGACACCATCTAAAATTTCAGTCCTGGGACCTTTAAACCCAGGAACTTTGAAAATATTTTAAAGGTGGCATTAAGAAACACGCAGGGAACTTCCTTTACTTTTCAGGGTAGGTTCCTGTCAGTCTTGGAAAAACTCGTGACCCATGGGGGAAGTTAGTTGTGCATATGCGGAAAGGCAATCAGATGAAAAGCACACTCCCTGCAAGGGCCCAGCACAGCAGCCTTCCCCCACCACAGAGCTCTCTCTCGGTCAGTCGACTAGGTACTGTTGCTCCCTCTCTCTGATCTTCACAAAAAGAAGAGCCAGATAGATGCCTTGCCTGGTCCCAAAGTTTGAATTAGCATCTGCAGTAGCACAAGCAAACATTCATCCATCTATTGTATTGGTTTGTTGAATGCTGAGCGGTTTTATTAAGGACCAAATTTTTGCTGGACATTGGAGGAATGTTCATGAACAAGCAGACCTGGTTTCTGCTTCCCCGCCTCACCGCCCTGCCACCAGCTGTTGTCTCTTACAGTCTGTTGGAGGAGAAGAACAATTAAGTGAACAATTAAATACAATGTGAGAGAGCTATGCTGGGGAAAGTGTAGGGAGCTAGGGGGGTGCATATGGGAGGGGCGTAACTGGACTTGGGGAGTGAAGGAAGGCTTCCTGGAAGAAGTGTCTTTTAAAGTAAGGCTTGACAAATGAGTTAGGGAGGCAAGAGGGTTGGAAAAAGGATTTCAGACAAAACAAATAATATGAATGAGGCACGGAGACAACAAAGCTCTTCAGGTTGCTCCTAAGAAGGATGAAAGGGGTGGGGTTGAGGAGAAGCGAAGCTGGAGAGATAGTCAGGGCTGAGCGGGGCTGGATCACACAGGGCAGGTAAACCTTGGCAAAGAGTTCTGACTTTGCCCTGGGGAAAACAAAGGTCACTGGGGAGTTTTCAGCAGGGTAGGGATTGAGGAGGCTGTGGCAGATATCTAAGGGAGAGGGAGAGTGAGGGAGAGAGGTCGGCAGCATGGGCATGGAAAAAATGGAAAACAACACAGGAGTCATGTCAATGGCAGAACTGATAGCCAAAGGAGAATTATTATGCCAGAGAAAAGGGACACCCACGATCCTGGCTTGTCACTGGAAGGGTGTAGTTCCAATCACAGAGATGGTGCACGCACAAAAATAATGAGGATTAGTACTGAGGAACTGGGAGAAAATGTTGGGCTTAGTTTGGGGCATGTTGATTTAGGGATCCAAGGGGCACTTGAGTGCAGGTCTTCTGCACTCAAGGCTCATGTGAACCTAGAGCTCAGACAGACTCATTCATTCATTCACTCGTTTACTCCGTAAACATTTATACAGGCCGGTGTTGGATGCTGACTGAACAAGAAGGATGATTAAGAACCTGGCCTTATCCTCAAATGAGTCATGAGAGAGAAGTGTAAACATAATAGGAATGCCGTGCAAGATACGAAAATAGTGTATACACAGGGTAAAGTGAGAGCAGGAGATGGTTAGCTCTGCTTGGGCGGCTTCCCAGGAAAGGTGACCCATGAGAGAATAGCCAGGAAGCCAGGCGGGGGAGTGAGAGGAGAACACTACAGGCAAATGAAATGGCAGATCGTTGTTAAAACACAAATACGGCCCCCATTTAGGGAAGTATCACAAATGATGTATGGCCCCCAAAGAAGCCCCACACCTGCTAGTAGAAGTTGCAGGGGCTGCTGGGGCCAGGGTCTCATGCACTTGCTGAAGGGTTGGACTCTAGCCTGAGGAGAACTTTTTTTTTGAGACAGGGTCTCACTCTGTCAACCAGGCTGGAGTGCAGTGGCACAATCATGGTTCACTGCAGCCTCAACCTCCTGGGCTTAAGTCATCCTCCCGCCTTGGCCTATGGAGCAGGTGGGACTACAAGCGCTCACTACCATGCCTGGCTAATTTTTTAAAAACTCATTTTGTAGAGATAGGGGTCTCACTATGTTGCCCAAGCTGGTCTCAAACCCCTGGGTTCAAGTGATCCTTCTACCTTGGCCTCCAAAGTGCTGAGATGACAGACATGATCCACTGTGTCTGGCCTGGAGAACTCTTGAAACGTCTTTCATTATTATTTTTACCATTACAGAAGTCCGTGCAAAATCACCATACAAGTTTTTTAAAAGCAAAAAGAAAATAAAAATCATTGTTACCACTTAATGTGTGATAAGAACTTTTCCCATTCTTGGTTTCCTACTTCTCTCTCACTTTCTACTCATCTGTACATGTAATGTATGTATGCATGTATTGTAAATATTTTAAATGGTGCATCTGCTGTTTTATAAACTGTTATCGTCCCTTGACAAAAAAAAAAAAAAGCCATGAAAAAGAATCTGTCACTAAGCATTTTTCCAAAACATCATCAGTAGCCTCATGATTTTTAATTATATGATGAGAGCAAAATTAATTTAACAAATGCCTGTGTCATTGAGCATTGGAGATATGTCTAAATTTTCATAATATTCTTATAGCTAAATATCTGGATAAATCTAGTCCTTTTCTCCCCTCAGGGGGAATTCTTAGAGATATAAATGCTGGGAAAGTGAATAAGACTCTACTAAGGTTTGCTATGTGCTCTCAAATTGCTAAATCACT